TCTTTTTGGAAGGAGTGAGCCCTCCAAAAGGGAAAAAAAAGTGTGCATTTCAAGAGATAGAAGAGCCTTGGAGCAGCTGTTGCGTACAGCAGCCCTAATTGGGAGGTGTTGGTGAGGTTCACTCCAGATCTGTTGTTATCACAGCGTGGTTTGAAAATGGCTCAGCAGAGAAGACATTTTGTAAGGGCGCATACAGACCGAGTCACCAGAAAGAGGAATTTTCACTTGCTGACATGAAAGTGCTGTTAAATAACCAAACAAATGCAGAAAGGAACACTTGGATTACAAAGAGGGAGTCACTTTGTGAATAAAGCAGAGCCATTTCAGTTGAGAGGAACAGTTGAATCATTTCATGAGTGGGAAGGTGTGACCAAGCTTTGTGAAGAAAGATTTTGTCTGTCTCAATTTGCCTCACTCCCTAAAAGTCTGCAAAAGGCAATACTGGCTCTAAAATCCAGAGTGCTCCACAAGGAGAAGGTTCTTCCTAATGAGTCAAACAGAAATTCCCTGACAAAACTGTGTGTTAGGAAAAATTACAAGTTAGTCTACTGGCAGGAGAGGGTGACCACTTCTGATATAATTCAGCTGCAAGGGAAGAGATTTTTCCTTCGTTTCTTCACTCAAGCCTCTGTAACTATGTCTGGTACTCTGCGTGGTGTGCATAATTTTATTTGCATTTTTACATTAACTTGGCTGGAGTTAAGAAGATTTCGCAGTAAAGTGGCTAGCAAGACATTCTTCACACAGCAGCACAGTGAACCTATAACCCTGGGCACTGGGGGACACTGCTGACCTCCAAGAGGCACACTCCTCAGAGTATCCCCAGGGGACTAAACCACATCCCGCTAGGAGTGAGCTAGGCAGCTAGAGGAGGGGTATCACAAATGTTGAGAGAATAGTAAGCATCTCTGAATGAGTAAGGGTATCCAGGAAAGCTTTCTGGACTTTATCAGATCACTTGGGAGGATTCTTCTCTACAAGGATTTTCCACTTTGCCATTCAAATGCTGATGAACAAGACCAAGGGAAGGGAAATTTTTTTTTATTGGGTATTCTGGCTTCTGCTGATATTCTTATAGGAACTCAAAATAGCGAAGAACTTAGTCCTGCCTCAAGGAGACGGTGAACTGGTGATGCATGGAGAGGAGAAGAGACTGGGAGAATAGGCACAGTTCTCTGGTGAGGTCTGAGGGCTGATGAGTTTCTCGTCTTGGGGTGGGTGGTTGAGCTTTGTAAATAAAGTATTGAGAGTGACGGGATAAACTGTGTTTATCCTTCTAACTTTTCTGATAATAAGCATAGTTTACAGTCTGATCAATAGTTGGGAAATCTCTGACTCATAAGAGAGAATCTTCTGCTAAAACCAAACACATGTGCACACACAAACACACACACACTCATTTTTAAGCTGAAGTCAGTGTATGCAAATAGAATGAGGGAGCTCCAAATTTGGATCTCTTCTCCGCTGAGGTAGCCCAGATACATGACTTGCATTCTCCCAGAGGAATGTCTGAGGCCTGATGGCTAGTAGCTGGGGCTGAAGAGTTCTGGGCTCATTGTTTATTCCTATTGACAGTGTGCAAAATGGAAGAGTACCAACTGAGAGTACCCCATCTCTCAACTATCGGTCAATCACTGGTTTGATGAGGGCCTCAGCTTTGGAAAATCCAGCTTTGAATTCTTCTTCTACTTAAGGAGGCTTCAGCTGGAGTGCTGCAGATAGCATTCGTACCGTTCTGTCTTTCTCATGGACTGTAGATGCCTACTGCACACACAGAGTGTGTGCTGGGTCAGTAATCAGCAACATACAACTTCTCAACAACTGAAGGGTTGTCACTGCAGGCTCATTAGGCAGCTGGATTTTAGATCAACCTGTAAAAGGAAGCATTTCCAGTAAGTGATGGTAGATGCCTCCTAAATGTTTCACAAATTGATTTTGAGGCCCCTAAGCCCAAATATGATACTTCACAGCATTAAAATCCCCGTTTATCACCTTGGCAATCAATAAGTGAAATCATCATGATACAGTGGATTGATTTAGTCACTATGTATAACATCACTTGGGGAAGATGCTTGCTCCGGGTCCTTCAAGAACGGGCACAGTTACAAGGCCAAGAGCTTCCAACAGCCTGGATGAGAAGCAATGCATGTGCTTCCTCTCCTTATTTCTAAGTGTGCACAGGACAGGGTTTCATGTGCAGAGCTGTCACACAGCCCAAAACAAGGTGGAATGAAGGCACGTTTTAACATTGCATGTGTTGTGTGAGAGAGCTTACAGAGAACAGGGCTGGTTCACTTGAGCTGTCCCCAGGTAAACAAGTGAAGGAGACACTAGGTGGTTTTGAGAACGTCAGGTGTTGCAGTGAGTTTAAGCAAAACCAGTTTGCAAGAGAATTGCTTTGTGCCGTGCAGAGGCTTGCAGTTTTTACTTTGCATTCTGAGAGTAGTTATTGTGAAAGTACTTGCATTCAACTCTATTCCAATATGTCCTTCAAAACTAGTTGAAGCCAGGCAACTGTAGATCTCCTTTACAGCAGGTTGCTTTTATGTTCACTGCCTGGACTTGGCTAATGTTAAAGACATGTCACAAAAATGACGTACCTTCCATTGCAGTACCTCTCGGAGTGCTGGTTTTGCTTGTAGTGCTTTGTCTTCGGCAAATGCAGGTTAAAAACTGCACTGCGAGTGCATGGTGTTTTATCAGAGGGGCTCCTGAATTTGTGTTACATGATTGTACTGCAGAATCTGGGGAAAATAAGGTTTGTTCAAGTACCACGCTTCTGCTCTGTGCTTTGTGCAAAACAGCAGCCTGCGGTTTGGGGAGCTTCAGCATCAAAGAATACAGGGGGGTCTTCCTTGCCATGCTGAATTTGTTGTCATGTGTAGCTCAGACTGAGTTCAGGAATTGTGCCTGCATGTGGGGACTGTTGCCAAATGCACAGAGATGTGTCACAGCGCTGCAGAGGAGGAGGCATTGATCTCTGCTAGGAGTAGTCCTGGGGTTTGGCACAACTGAAAAATGCCCTGGTATTTATGATCCAGACTCACAGTGCTTTTATTTTATGGGCGTGGGCCCACGGTTGCTACTCCAGCAGAATGCCCTTTGAGATCAGCCAACTCTTTACTTACGTGAAACACTGGTAACTTTGTCCCAGTGCTTGCCAGTTGTGTTCCTTCGGCCTCTTCCCTCTTTGTTCTCCTGAGTGGTACTTTAATGCTTTCCTCGTCCTAGTAGCATATCCACGGTGAAACTGGACGGTAATGGAACTATGGAGAGCAAACAAAAAGCATGCAACTATGGCAAGTGTGGCCTTGGAGCCTGTAGTAACCTTTCACAAATGCCGATGATGGTTCTTGCAAAGCCGTGGTGCGTTCTTCTGATGCTTGTCTCCTGCAGCTGGCAAGACAGCAACAGGCTGCCATAAGCTCTCAGTTTTGTTGTGTGACTAGACTGAAGGAAATTAGATTGTGTGCTCACGCCTGGTCTGGAATGAATTTGTGTGGCTGTGTAAGGCAGCAGCATGCGGGCGCGGGTGTAGCGAAAGCAGGTGATGTAAAGCTGTAAGCAGGGTGGAGGTATTGGAGAGGATAATGTGTCAGGACAGAGAATTATGGAGTGCTTTGCTGTGTAAACTAGTAGCTCTCGTGCTTTCTTTTCCACTGCTCTGTGTTTGAGTTGTGTCCTCCAACTCTGTCGTTCTGACTGCTCTTTGATAGCTATCGTCTGCAGGTCTTGGTCTACCCATGGCCAAGGACTGTTACACAGCGACAACGGAGAAAAACAAAGCAGCTGTCAAAGGCAGCCTTGTGGTAAGGAGAGGTCTGCTGCAAGGACATCAGCCTACATTCACACTGTAGTGTAATGCAAAAGAAAAAAGCTCCGCAAATCAGGATTTAGTCTCCCTTTGGAAATGTTCCCTTTCTGTGATTCTGTGATTCTGTGATTCTATGTGCTGGTGGCTGGTGTTGTGCCTCCCCAGGTGCAGGACTCTGCACTTCCTCTGGTCGAACTTGTTGGGGCTGCTGCCTTGGCAGGGTAGGAGCCTGGGGTGATGCCGAGAGCAGCCCCAAGCCGTGACTCCGTGCAGGAGGGGGGCTTTGG